GTTCCTTTCTCTGAACCCACTCCAGCACCTCAATATCCTTCCTGAACTGAGGAGCCCAGAACTGGGCACACACTGGCACATGTTCAGACACTGTCAACCTGCACCCCCAGGTCCTTTCCCACGGCCACTTTCCAGCCACTCATCCCCCAGCCTGTAGAGCTGCAGGGGGTTGTCGTGGCCAAAGTGCAGAACTCGGCACTTGGCCTGGTTGAACCCCACAAAACTGGCCTCGGCCCATTGATCCAGCCTGTCCGGATCCCTCTGCAGAGCCTTCCTACCCTGCAGCAGATCGAAGAATCAATTCCTGTCCCCGCGACACAGTCTCTGCACTGGGCAGGAGCTGCCTCCCCACAACGGGGCGGGAGGTTGGAGGTTCTCCCTCGCGGCTGCAGCTGCGGCCGCCGCCGCCATCGAGGGCTGGGCGGGAGCGGCAGCTCGGCGCCCTCAGGCCCCTTCCCAGCTCCACGAGGGTTCAAGGTGTGTGTTTCCTGCTGACCGGTGAATGGGTGCTGTGACAAAAGCTGGAATCTGAGGCGTGAAATAGTTGGAAATAGTTGAGGCTATTTGTGGGAACTGTGTGATGGGGGTTGAGGCTGTTGTGTATCGGGTGAGTGCTCCGTGGGCTGGAGTCAGGCGAAGACCCCCAGGAACCCACACGTCGGAGATCAGAGCAGGGGTCTGCAGCCGCCGGGTGAGACCCCAGCAGCCACCCCTGCACAGCCCTTGGCCTGCGCTGCCCGTGCCCCGCTGCCTCGGCACCGGTAGCCAGCCAGAAGGTACCTCAGAGCACCGCGGGTTGTTATCTGCCACATCCCTGGTGCATCACCCCCTGCGTGTTTCCTGGTGTTTTGCTTATTTCTGTAATCACAGCAACATGCCTTTCCTTGTTCCATTTGTATAAAGAAAGTTGGTTGGAGCACAGTGCTAATAATTCTGAGGCTGTGGGTCTGATCCCCATATGGGCCATTCACTTAAGAGCTGGACTCAATGAGCCTTGTGGGCCCCTTCCAGCTCAGAATATTTGGTGATTAAGGTGCTCCTTCTTAATGTATTACCAGCTGAATCATGTCCCTTTCATTTTTGTTTCCGTGCCTGTCATTACCTTCCTCATTGTTCAAGATGATGAAGGTTCTCAGCACCTTCTGAAGCTCCCTGATAGGAATGTGTGAGTTAGTACTTCCTTGCATTGGAGTGATTACTATTGCATTTCAGATTGTGCCAGCTTTCAGTGTATTCATGTTCCATCATGGAAAAATTGTTCTTCTTCCTTCCCCTTCTGCAATTTTCTACTTAAGAGCATTAATGCATGGATACAATTATGCTAACATTAGGCAATTGTTGCTTCGAAAAGTCCTTGTAATTGAATGACAGATGCTTATGATTGAATCAGTTTGAAAACTCAATATAAGACTAAAGTTACTCTTCAGGAACCTGCTTAGCATCCTGAGTACTCCTTGACTTTCAAGTGGAAATGGTGATTGGCACCACAGAGAGTTAGTTTGGAGTTCCCAAGTTAGAAAATATATTATAATGCTGCAGTAATTCAGGTGGCACTTGCACTGTATGTCTGGATGTAAATTAATCTGCAACTATGGTAAAATACAGACGAACAATAATTTTATAGTAGTGTAACAGTTTTCTATTGATATTAGTATTTTATTATAGTATTTATAAAATGGAGAGTTATGTAGTTTTATTTAGAACAGCTACAGAAAAAATTGAGAAGTGTGTTTTTTCAACTTCAAAAATGATGCATCTCTATCTTGCTGAAGTTTTAAAGTATTTGTAAATATCATGTTACTTACATGTCTTCCCACAGTTAGAAAGACAAGGCAAATTTGCTGTGCATACCTACTTAGTTACTTCAAACTCCAGTCTGTGCTCTGTTATGCCAGATCTAACTCAATTTCTTTATTTCTTCAGACAGTCAAGACTTTTGAAAGTGGGACACTTTCAGATGCACCTGAAAGTTAGTGCTTTCTTCAAGGAGTCAACCAGCTAATTTATAAGGCATGTGGAAAAAGGTAGTTAGATCAGGACAAATTCCTCATAGAGGCCAGAACTTCCCTTCCTAAACGTGGCACTTCTCAAAGCAGTAAGTGCCTGTGTTTAGAAACTAATCCACTTTCTAAATTACATACACTTGATAATCTACTAACTTCCCAATATTCTGATTCTCCCAGTGCTCATTGACTTATAAGCCAGGTTCTCCTACACAAGGAGAAGAATTAGAGAAGCGGTGAATTTTGCATCTATAAGCCTTTGATATAGGCTGGGGATTTAAAGAAAATAAATCATTCATAAACAGTAGGAGGGTTTTTTGCTGAACAATGAATTTGCAGCGCTGGAAAATAGTAAATTCACTAACACCATACAAAACAATAAAGTGATGTTGATTAGAGACCAAACATAACATTGAATCCAAGTGACTTTAATATGTAATGTAGAATATGGTAACTAAAATATAATACATAAAGCATATGTACATCAGATATGACATATATGAAAAATAGTTAACAAAATATGTTAAATAGCATATAAATGCATGCATCTTAGTTACATAATAAACCATGTATGTACTGAAATTTTATTAATCTGCTACTCAGATTTTAAAAGGTACCTGCTTCAGATTTCTTTCCTATTCTTGAACTTAACAAGTTTGCACAAAGCCTCTTTTTAGGTGTGTGTACACACTCATTATGCATATGTAGATATATATATATATTTATATGTACCATGCATGTACATTGTTCATCCAGGAGTTTTATCCTTTTCATTAAGTAGAAGTCAGAATATGTAACATCGTTCTCTCTTAAATATCCATCGTTTTACCTGCAACTATACTGTGTGTCCTGTGCATTTGCTGTAAAGTGTAAACATGTGAAACATCCTGCCACCAAATGCACCAGCTTACTTAGGACAATGAAATATTGTGAGTGAAGCAAAGTATTATTCTAGGACTTGTAAGCTCACATCACTAACATTTGACTGGAATACCAGAATGCCATTTTAATACTTTGCTTTTGGAAGGAACATTTACTTGGCAGTTCATGTGGGTCTGATATTTCTCTCTATACTTTTTTCAGACATTTTTACTAGTATGAGATTATTTTCATTCAATTTTTATAAAGTGATGAATGCTTTCTCTATTCATAGCAGTAAGTGGGAGTTTGTTAAGGGTACTCAGGTACTGGTCTTTGTGTTGGGAGTTCCAAAAATACCTCTGAAACTCCGGTGAACTCTGCATTAAAAGCAGGAATATCAAGAATGGATGTCTTCAGGAGAATATAGTTTTTTTAAAAATAATTTTTCCGGAACGTTTTTGTTCATTTTAGTGAACCATGAGATGAGGAAAAAAAATATTTTTTGACAAATGATGTTCCTCAGGAGTTGGATTTGGGACTGGTGCTGTTTAACAGCTCTGTCAGTGCCATGGACAGTAGGGTTGAGGGCACTGAGTTGCATGGTGTGGTTCCCATGCTTGAGGGAAGGGATGCCATCCCGAGGGACCTGACAGGCTCTGTGTGAGTGCTGGGCCTGCACAAGAGGAGTAAAAGCCTGTCTTCCATGTCTGTGCTCATTCCCTCTGGATTGTATCATAAGGGAGCCACTGTACATCCAGAGAGCCCAGCTGTAGAGGCAGTGAAGAGAGCAGCAGAAGTCCTGCTCCAGTGGGAAGCTATTGGCTCCTCCCAGTGTGAAGGGCAGAGACCACAAGAGAGGAGTTCTGAACACTTTTAGTGCAGGCAGCAGCAGGGACTGGGCAGCTCTAACAGATGAGCAGGACTTACAGGGAGAAGAGCAGCAGCAGGAGAAAGAAGACACCAGTTTGGGAGATAAATAATGTTGGACAAATTATTTGCTGCTCTGTGCCTGTAAGGCAGGAGAAATAATAGACTCCTTTGAAATACTGTCTCCTTTGCCATGTGGCAGCAAAGTCACTTTTCTCTTTCTGTTGCCGTTCTTTTCCTCTGTGATGTTGTTTACTCAACCTGAACTCCAGGGAAGAAATGTGCGGGATGCTACAAGGATGGGAAATTCTGCCTCTGCTCCCTCAAGGCTCTGGGCTGGAATTTTAAGCCCAATGTTTATTATCTTTTTATTAGCCCAAATCTAATACGTCATTTAGTGTTTCTGGAAAGAATGACTACAACTGCTTGGCATTGCAGGCTTTCAAAGGTTAAATGGCAAATTCTGAGCAGTCTTCAGAGATGTAGTTTTGTGCCATGGAAGCGGGTCTTAAATACTTATTATCTATATTTTCAGGAGATACTTGTGGTCCACAAAAGAGTATGGCTTAATAAACACTTGAAGAAAAGTACCAAGATCAGTGTTTACAAAGCCATAGTGCTGTCTACTCTCTTATACGGTTCCGAATCATGGGTCATCTACCGCCACCACCTGCGTCTCCTGGAATGCTTCCATCAACGGTGTCTCTGTACAATCCTTAACATCCGCTGGTCAGATTATGTGACCAATACATCTGTACTAGAACAAGCTGCTGCCACAAGCATTGAGGCCATGTTACTGAGAACGCAGCTGCGATGGGCCGGGCACGTCTCCAGGATGAAGGACCAACCACCGCCTCCCTAAGATCCTGCTCTATGGTGAACTTGCCACCGGCTGCCGCATGAGAGGAGCCCCGAAGAAAAGATACAAGGACTCCCTGAAACAACATCTCAGCCTTGGCCATATTGATCACCATAACTGGTCTCCTCTGGCCTCAAATCAGGAGGCCTGGAGACACACCATCTATAACGCAGCTGTCTCCTTCGAGAACACACTCAGGATCACTCTCGAGGAAAAAAGGCAAAGCAGAAAGAACCGTGTCTTGCGGAATACACCATCTAAGGAGTCTTTCTGCTGTGCCTTTTGCAATCGGATATGTCTGTCACGTATTGGCCTCATAAGCCACCAGCGTACCTTTAACAAATGTGGATAGAGCCTTTCCCAAATCTTCGTTCGCGAAGCCTAGCCATGATGATGATGATGATGATGACTTGTGGTAAATTGACTGCATTGTGAAAGTTGATTTGTATTGGCAGTCTTGGGGTGTTGGAGAGAGAAGCTCTCCTCTTGTAAAGTGTAGAGTAATACTGAGAAAATTCTCTATCTAGGGGATGTGATTTCATTTAAAAACACCAGTCTTGGAGCATCATGCATTTTTAAATCCAAATTCTTCCAAATGCAGGCATCCCTTAAATGCTGTGGTTATATATTCTTTACATTATAAATGACTGAACGTAGAAATGATCTTGAGACATCAAAATTCAGGCATCCAGTCTAATCTGTTTTTCCCTTGCTGCAGTCCCAACCTCATAGGTTCTTCTTCCACTTTTCCCCATGACAGCAAACCTCAGGGCAAAGATACTGCCTGTAAATCCTGTCTGAGGCAGGATACTGGATGAGGAGGTTATTAAGATCTCTTTAAACATACCATGGCCACATGGGACCATTGGATCATCGGGTTCCGTTTACAAAGCACAGTTGTTGTTTTTTTTCAGCTTATTCTCAGAGTAAGAGACAGCCAAGACCAGATTCAAACTGGGGTATGAAAACAACGACTGTTCTGTTAAACTGACTCCAAGAATGCCATAAAAATCTGAAAACTGAGTTAACAATGTATCTTGTCTAGTCCTTTGAGACTGGTATTTAAATTAGAAGAAGACAACTTTGTGTAAGATTGAGTGCAGCCATTTTCATGGATATAAACAACGTACTTTCATTTAAAACAAAATCAAAGAAGTTATCTTTTTGATGGTGATTTGCAAGTATAACTCATTATTCACAGTTTCTGCTATGATAAATACATGTCTTTGGACAATACAGGGCATACTGTATCTGCTTCCTGATATTTTTTTTGTTTAAAAAATACCTATCCCCAGGCAGTAAACCTTGCCATACCAATATAATCTGCAGTCTAGAACCTTGTTGCTTTAAGATGGTTAAACAGTTGTCATAAAATATATAGAGCTTTTCTCTAAAATTAAAGAAAAATTAGCACAATGAAAAACAATTTTACCTCTTCATAACAGCCTTCCAAGTGAAAGCTCATTCTGCACATACCTGTGTTTTAAAAATATAGTGGTATTTTCAGTTGCTGTGTGGCACAATGTGACAGAAATATGCTGTCTTTTGCTCTTAAACCTTGCCATGTCATGGCTTTTTACAAAATCCTACTGAAGTTGGTTGTGTTTTTAAAAAAAGAGTATTAGTTACCAGCCATCTGCAAGCATGGCTTCAGGGGTGTGCATGGTTGTCAGGAACTCCTAACTGTTAGTCAGTTAGACAGACTAGCATGATTTTCTGGTGCAACACCTCTGATGAGATCTCTAGAGAGAAATCTTTGTTGATTCTGATCTCGGTAGAGCATCCTGGAACTGTGTCATGCTGTATTGTATGTTGGGGGGACGTCCATATCTACAAATGAATTCTTCAGCGTTGTACCTGCAATATAAACAAAAGCATCTTATGTGTTCATCTGTTTATTTCAGGTTTTTATTTAAAATACATTGCTGAGCGAATGAGGGAAAATAACTAAAACCAGAAATAAAAACTGGCTACCACCAGAATGCAACCAGGGTCAGATTAGCAATGACATAAGAATTTCCTGTTTTGTTGATTCAAAGTAAACAGTGTTTCAGTCAAAGAACACTGCAGTGCTTAGCATCAAAATCCATTTCTTCTTGGAGCTCCAGTAAATCTATTACCTTAATGCTCATTAAATACCTATTGCTGTAGCACATACTGAGAATACTCTCAGAGAGCAGTGGGTGCAAACACTGTGAATGTTTGCTGTCGTGGCCTTGTGTTGTGGCACAAGAAATTAAAGGGGTGCCCCTCTCCTCAGCCAGGTGCTCTCACTCTCATTTTGTCCTGTTTTCAAAGTTCAGCTCACAAGCCCCAATGTAGTTGCACTACAGCCTTCTAAGCTGCATGCAGTGGCTCTTTGTGGAAGAGAAAATGCACCTTCTGTGCTGGTGAGGACAAACAAGTCTAGGGTACCTTGTCAACTTTGTCCCATATTCCATCTACCTGCAAGTGTCTTTTTAGCAGGAGTTTTGTCATTCAGCTTCTGAATTTCCATGAGATAAGTCAAGCAATCCTCAGAGCCCTCACCACTTCTAAAAATGTAGTTGTATTTTTTTCACGATTCTTTCCAGTGATGCAGCACAACGGTTTCCCAGACTTTTTGCAGAGGAACCTCACCTTCAGGAATTGAAGGTAGAGATTTGCAATCAGTTCTGTTTGGCTTTAGTATTCCCCCAGCAACTGCAGCTTTTTCATTGTGCCCCCTAGTCAGTCCAGACCTCTCACAATTCCCTTTCTTTGTTGTTGTCCTGTTCCCTTCCTGTGACATCTCTGTCTCTGCTGCTGGCTCAGACAGCAATGTCACTAAAACATAGCAAACAGATCTGGACAGATCAATCTATTTCCCTCTGATGTCATTTATGAGTCCTCTTCCGTGAAAAGTCCTTTCCTAGAGCTCATCTAAGTGACTCACTTCATGGGTTGGAAGGCACTAACATAAAGAAGTCCAGGATTAGATGTTGAGGGAAGTAGTAGAAGAAAGAATATGTCTAATTTTCCCCCAGACAGTTCTTGCTGAGGACCTGCCTTAGGTACTACTAAAAAGTGTTATCAGATCAGCTGAGATGGACCTCTCTGGTGTATTGAGACTTACAGGTTCTTGTAGATGCAATTCAGAGTGTGGCTTTTGCTGCACTCTCGATTCCCTCATGCCAGCTGGTAACCTCTGCCCACTGTGAGGAGCAGGCAACAGGGCTGTGACTGGGCAGGCAGAGGAGGGCAGCACACCTGATGGATGGGACAGGGCATCCCCGGGAGGGGACTTGGTCACCAAAGCCACTTTAATGTATCAGCAGGATCTCACTCTTACCCTGTTCTCAGTGAAAGCTCTGAGGAAAGGATGCGCAACAAGGCTTAGAAATTCAAGTGATAAAAGAGACTTTTAAGAAGTAAAAGATAAAACCAGAAAAACCTTCAAATGTGCTTATGGATGGCTTACTTAAGTAAAAAATTGCTAATGCCTTCTTACTATTTCTATTTACATTTCATGTAATTGGAAATATAAGTAGAAGACACCTCTGCACTCCTGCAATACTCGAGTGGTTTTTGTTACTCAGACACTGATGCTTTGGGTCTCCCATACACAACCAGCCTCTCAGTGTCCCTAGGCAGTAGCAGAAATGGCTCCCTAGTTTGTGCCCATGATCCAGCTGCTGGGAATATCTGCATTCCTGCCTGCTCCACCGACCCAGGCAAGCTTCCCAATCAGGGAGGAAGCCTAATCCTTTGAGAATCCTAAACGTAAATACTGCAGCAGTATTTGGCAGGTCAGCACTGGAATTTGTGATATTCATGAACTTGCTACAGTTTATTTTCCTTGATCCGGAGGCTGTTTTTCCAGGGGTTAGAAGGGACCGATGGACCGGTTTGGACCTCCTGCACTGTGCAGTGCTGTCGGGAGCTGTGGATCGTGTCCCTTTCTGACGCTCCACGGATTTTCCCCGCGGAGCCCAAGTCCAGCACTGCCGGGGGAGCGCTGACACCTCGTGGCCGAGCTCCAGCCCTGGGCCCTGGGTACGTCCCCTCTGTGGCTCTGCTGGAGCAGCCTCAGGCTGCAGAATTTTTACATAATAGATGTATTTTGTAGTTGGGCTTTGTAGGCAGGGTTGATGAGGCCAGGTCGCCTGCAGTGAGGAGTTTATCAAGTTGACTCCCAAGTTGTGTCGTGCCTAAGATTTTTTGCTAAGAAGCTCAGTTTCTTTGCTGTGCCCAAGTCATTCAGGATGCTTGCCAAAAACGAGTTTAGGCACCTGAAAATCCCCATGTAACCTGAATGTTGGCAGTTCCTGGAAAAAAAGCAAAGAGATTTAGAATGTGTCTGGAAAAAAATGATATGAAAAGCTGCTCAGTGTAAAGGTCTTATGCAATTGTTTGGATTGCTGTGCTTCTTTCTGTTGAATGTACACTGCAAGCTCCCAGTCTGTGCCGTCCTCAGAGAGGTGCTTCTGTCAGTTTTTTGAAGTAACATAGTTTGCAGTTCTCTAAGGCCCCATCTGCGGTGAAAAATCACACCCAAGCCCTGTCACCCTGGAGAAATAAATGTTCTATCCAGTTAGCAGCGAGGTAAGGAAAAGACTCAGGGTGGTGATGTTCTTATTCAAAACACTCCATGTCAGCATCAGAGTTGGCAACAGGACAGGGAAGTTTTTAATGTGTGTTCCCTGCTCTGGGCCCTGGAACTTGCTGTTTGACAGCCCAGAGGACAAGGACAGTGGCTCTGGTAGCAATTGTGAGAAATGTCCATGGTGCAGATCTTACCTGATGATCTGAATTGCCATGAACTCTAAACTGTGCCTGTAACCACTGACAATCTGAAAACACCTGTGAGCATGTCGGCCCTCACAAGGATCCAGAAAGGATGGAGACAGTACGGCGTCCCAGTATTCACGCATCCCGTTCACAGCTGTGTCACCGGACACGGGCAGTCGGGGGAAGGACTTTAGTGCTGTGTTCCTTGTGCCGGTGGCTCATTCCTGCAGCAGCGTGTGCCGGGGCCGGCGAGCACGAGGCGGCGCAGCAGAGCAGCAGGAGCGGGCGGCGGGAGAAGGGAGGGCGGCAGCGGGCTGAGAGGGGGGTCTGGGAGCGGGATTCTGGGGTCCTGACAGTGAGCCCGGCACTGCAAGAGGGCTCTGCAGCCTGTCATCCCTGAAGCCGTAATCCTTGCTAAGTCCAGTTCTTTTGTAGAATATCTGACATTTTAGAATTTCCTAGGCAGCAGCTCAGTCATTTCATCTGCAGATTTCCTGGAATTTATAGTGGCATTATTTAATTACTCAGTTCCTGAGCAGCTCCCCTTTTACAATGCAGTTTTCATGATATCTCAGCTCCACCTGCAAATTAAAACTGTGGGATAGACTCAGTGATGTCCCAGTTCTCAGTTCCTTCCTCCTACAATCAGGTCTGATGATTTTTCTTTTTTTTTTTTTCGGTGTAACTTTTATCAATTGAATTGCTAACCCTTGTTGTACACGCTTTGAATTTTTCAGTTATGTTTCGTCATACCTAAAGAACATATTTCAATCTTTTGTTGGCTGCAGCAGAACACTGGCCCTTTAAGGCCAGAGGGGATGTTTTACAAGATCAGTTGCTAGTGTGCCTAAGGAAATCTATTAAAAAAATATTTGATGTAGCCTTTGCTAGAGAGAAGAGTGTCTTGGGAGTTATTAATGTCAGGAGCGAGTTAGAATGTAGGACCACTGTCCCCTTAAGGGCCTGGGATGAAGGATCCTGCATTATAAGGTTTCTCCTTCTCTCATCAGGGACAAAGATATGCCTGTTAACTCAGCCTCAGAATTGAGAGTGATTAGATGAGTGAAGCTGACCATGTATCTGATGGAAGATTGGCCTAATATGGACTCTCCAAGCTAAGAGAAAAGCCCTCTGATTGCAGTTGAAAGGGAGCAGCAGGAGGAGGAAGTCAAGGAAGTCTGGTATGGAAGCTTATTAACACTATCATTTAAGAGATCAATAGACCTCTATGCCTGCCCCCCAAACCCCTAAAAAACAAACAAAAAAAAGCTGATTAGCTTAATTTAAGTAGACACTGGGAATGGGAAATTGAGACAAGCTCTTTGCAGGAGCTGTTTCTACCATGAGGGAGTGCCCTGAAGCATTCTTTGTCTATCCTGGCAATTGAACTGCTTATAATAACCTTGATACCAAGGTTATTTATTAGCTCTGCTATCACACAGAGCTAATTGCTCCAGCTGCTGTGTAGGTTGGAAGTTAGCTGGGAATTTTCTGAAGGAATGATTTTCAGATGGAGAATACACTGCTTTTTGAAAGTTTAAATATTACTTGTGAAAATTCACTTTTACTGGAACAATAAAAAAAATGCTTCCAGAAAAATAAGAAAACCACCTCACTACCTAGAGTATTTGACAGTAGAACTGAATTGATCATAAGCAGCAAGCACAGAACAGGCAGATAATCCTCCTCAGTGGTCTGGGATATTCAGAAACTCCCTTTCCATGACAAACCTTAGTTTTAAAAAACTGTAATCATGAATTGGCCTGATTTGTTAAAACCTGGAGGGTTTTCATTTCCCAGTCACCTCTGTTTCAGGGCATGTATTGTTTCGGAACAGAGCCTTGAGCACTCTACTGCACACTAACAAAAATAAGTACCGTGATTTCAATTCAGAAACACATTTTGTAGGAAATTCCAATACTACTGGCAATAGTGGGTTGGATTTCAGCCCTGCTGAAATGTGTGAATCCACACATGCACTGCAGCTGTGCTGGTGCCCTGTGAGTTCAGAGGATCTCTGTACAGGGGCCAAAGGACCTTGATGCTGTAATATTACATCTCTGAACACTGTACAGTTTTCCTTGCTTGTAGACCTCAAATTCTCATTC